AAAGTGAAATAGCAAATAGAGAAGTTATTGAATGTTACTTCAATTTTGGTGCAGTTTTAAAAAAATGACTTGATCATTACAAAAATTTGAATCATGGGGAACGTGCGTGTTTGGCTCTCGTTAACGATGAACTTTGAAAACAACTCCCTGATGATATTACCAATGATGCATTAAAAAAAAAGAAAGGAAAGAGCAGGAAAAATATATGACCTATTCGTTAGTATTGGTAAAGAAAAAATAAGAGGTATAAAAACGTTTTCTGCCTCAACAATTTCAAACTTAAGTCAAGATAATATAGATTATGTAATTGTTAAAATTTTAGCTTGAAAAGCTGTGGCATAGCCACTAAAAAAAGATGATAATTTTCATAAAGATGTACACTTATCTTAATAATAAACCATATTATTTTATCAAAATCAAGCTATTTCTTTCTGTAAATGATTCCTTACTGCACAAGTGACATGCATGCAGTGTATAAATTTCGTCGTGTAACAATATATCCAAATTTAGATGCGCACATTTTTGAAGGACATAATAATAATTATAGGATGGTGGAGTTTTGTTTTATCACATTTGTCACTTTGTGACGATCTCAAAATTATACTGTGCAACGAAATAATTTTAAAATAAAATTCATATGCAAAGTCACGTTCTCAATAAACAAATTTTTTTTCGTGATATAATTTTTAAATAAACTTTGCAACTAGTTATTAAATCAAGAGAGGAGCATGGTTAATTACAATCTAATCAAGATAACGTCAATATCCAAAAAGATTTACTAGAAGCGACTTAACTCACATAGTAGTTTTTACCTTTTCAAGAGATATCTTTTTATTTATTTTTTATTATTGCTTCTTTAAAAAACACTGTATAATTAGATACGTTATTAAGAGAGTAGGAAGGTTAATTACGATCTCATCAAGATAACTTCAGTACTCATGAAGCTTTATTAGTAACGTAGTTTCCTCTAAATATGTATTACTTCAATAATTATTTTCTCTATTTATTAATTAAATATTTATTACAGATAAACTCTACCAATTTTTTATTTCATTTTTTAAATTTAAAAACAAGTTATATATATGTTCTTCGTTTATATTAATTGAATTATCATCTTCACCATCAC